TTCTCTCTCTCTCTCTCTGTGGCGCTCTCTGCCGCTTCCTGCTGGGCATGCGCAGCTCGCCTCGCGCTTCCATTCCGGCCCCTCCTTCCCCCGACTACCCCGCCGCTCCGTTCCTTTCTCTTTCTCGCGTGTCAGAGAGCGGCGGCGCGAGCGCGGCGGTTCCCTCAGGGCTGACGGAGGGCTCGAGGAGGAGGAGGCAGGACGTGGAGGCGGAGAAAGCGGCGGCGGCCACCCCCCACCTCCGGCTCGAGGCCCGCGTAGAAAGCTGAGGGGGAGAGATAGATAGAGGTGGGCGGCAGCGGCGGTGACCACGACCAACCGCCACAGTAGTTGTAGCGGTGGTGACGGCGAGCAGGGACTCCCGCTCTCTCTCCGCCGTGTCTCTCTCTCTCTCCCGGGCCCGTCCGTTGAGTCTCCCGCGCGCCTCGGCTACAAGATGAGCATCGAGATCCCGCCAGGTCTGACTGAGCTGCTGCAGGGCTACACGGTGGAGGTGCTGCGGCACCGGCCGCCGGACCTGCTGGCCTTCGCCGCCGAGTACTTCGCCAAGCCGCGCTCTCCTTCCTGCCTCGCTTTGCTGCCTCCTCCCCCCCACCCCCAAAGCTTGGAGGTTCCCCGGCACCGACCCGCAGGTTTGACCCCCTTCTCACACCTGTTCGCGCTCCTTGCACGGAATGGGGCGGATGGGGAGGAACGGGGCTCGCCGCTGCCTCCGCTCGCCCTCCCCCCCTCCGCCGGCAGTCCCGCGATTCTTGGCTTTTTGGCGGTTGGCACAGAAGGAAGGCAAGGGGGAGGGGAAAAAATTGAAACTTACACTTTCGTGCGTCCCTCCCGGCGTGACGCTGCGCGCTGACGTCACGGGGCTGTAATGGTGGTGTGCCTCGAGATTTTTTTCATGAAACAAGTGTGCCTTTGCCCAAAAAAGGTTGGGAAACACTGGACTAGGGAGAGTACAGACTTTGCAATAAGCAACCATGCAACCAAAGGGTCGTCAAGTGGGAGTTTGAGCAATGGGGAACGAGCCACATGAAGGTCCTCTCAGCAAGCCCAGCTGCCTCTGGGAGCTTCAGGAGAGCAGGGTGTGATGGATGGCTCTTGAGATGGCCTGCTAGGAGTGGCAGCAGCGGGGAGGAGGGCGCTTTCTGCTGATAGCGTCTAGGACAAGTGTCTTTGTGTCCAGAAGAAATGTTGTAAAATGATATATAGGGAAGCCTTACATACCACAGTTGTGGAGAGAAAAGGACTTTCATTGCAGTGTGGGATCTTGTGACCCTTGCAATAACACAATTGCATGTTCTGAATCTACAAACAAACCTTTGTCCCAATAAGTTGACAGATAAACCAGTTCAACAAACATCCCCTCTCTAAAGACATGGTGCAGGGAGCTGATTGTTGTGGGAATCCGGATGTGTCCCTCTGATGGAAGCCTGAAGACATGGTTTGGAACTTCATATTGTGTTCCCACAGACAGCTTTGAAGACTGAAACAAGCCTTTTGGTCCCCTGTGGTCAGGTTTGAAAATGAATGGCATTCCAGAGTCAAATGGCACAGATCACGGTTTGACAAATGAATAATTTGAGAATGAATAATGTCAAGCTTAAAGAAATGCAAAATGTGGCTCCCAAGTGATTGTGGTATTCAACTAAGTTTTACTCAGCATTAATTACACACTTAAGTTACTGAACATGACTATTTGATTGATTGATTGATTGATTGATTGATTGATTGATTGTATTTCTATACCACTCTTCATCTGAGGATCACAGGGTGGTTTAAAATATAAAACCAAAAAAGTAAGAAGCAAAATAGTAAGAAGCAAAAACAACACCCCCACCCTTTAAAAGGCGATAAGTTAATATGTCTACTCTGAATCAAACTTCGTTGCAACCCTTTAAAAGGTGTTTCTGGCATATGGTTCTGTATACATGGCTGTAAATTTTAATTGATTGATCGGACAGATTGAGAAGGCAAACTCTGATCAACTAAAAAGCTGTGGTGATTAATCAACCAGGCAGTAGATTGGAAAAAAAATATTTTAATACAATAAATAACATGGTATAAAACTGATATCAGTGCATAGTGTGGATGAGGATGTCTGCAAAGGGTGGAGCTCTTAATGAAAACCAAAATTCCACCTGTGGAGCTGTGGCGAGCAAAAACGTGGAACCTGAGGAGAGTCCATGACGCTGTGCTTTCCTCCCCCAGACGAACCAAGTGCTTTACGAGAGGCTAAACACCTTCTGTCCTGACCTAGCTGAACTGTGTGGCTTTGGGAATGTGACTTTGTTCCAAGGATCTGGAACCAACTTCCTAATCCTCAGGACTGTCACACCTTGACCTGCCTGAGCCTCTTACGTGTGATGTATTTCTGACGTTTGCAAAAGGGGATGTCCTTCTCCATGCCAAAATGCAAACCTTTAAAAAGAGTTGTTTTTTCTTTGTTCGGGGTCCTTCACCTTCTGACGGGGGGGGGGGTGAGAACTCTGTTGCAACAGACAATAAAAGATCAGCTTTGCTTTCACCAGATTTCTGCCTCAGCTCATTAATCTCTGACCGGTGACAAATTTGGGGAGTTGGGCCATCAGAAGTCACCCCCCCTATTTTCTGGTAACACTAATAACTGAACACACCCAGAGTTCATATGGCTGTAGTATGTTGTTGCTTTGTTTAGCTGTGAAACCTAATATGTTGTCAGATTACAGACGGATGCAATTCAAGGGGCTAGTCCCCATTCTGTTGCCAGTTTTGCTGGAATCGTGTCTGATACCCACCCAGTCCCCTGCTACCCAGGAATTTCCCAAGCTGGTTTATGTTTTTTTTCTTTAGTCTGAAGCTATTGGATTGAAGTGTCAGGAAGAAGAAAGGTGTGAGTTGTGGACAAAAGGTCCTCAGGAAGCTTTTCTGAAAGTGGTCATAGAAAGGTTTCCTGCAAGTGGCTGTAGAAAGTTTCCAGAAAGTGATTGTAAGTAGAAAGACAATAGTTAAAATATGTAGCTTAGGTAAGGTAAAGGGACGACTGACCATTAGGTCCACGGCCGACTCTGGGGTTGCGGCGCTCATCTCGCTTTACTGGCCGAGGGAGCCGGCGTACAGCTTCCGGGTCATGTGGCCAGCATGACTAAGCCGCTTCTGGCAAACCAGAGCAGCACACGGAAACGCCGTTTACCTTCCTGCCGGAGTGGTACCTATTTATCTACTTGCACTTTGACGTGCTTTTGAACTGCTAGGTTGGCAGGAGCAAGGACCGAGCAACAGGAGCTCACCCCATCGCGGGGATTCGAACCGCCAACCTTCTGATCGGCAAGTCCTAGGCTCTGTGGTTTAACCCACAGCGCCACCCGCTTAGGACTCTCTCATTGTAAATAGGCTGGTTCATTTGGGGCTAAAGTAGCCCTGTTTTCAGGCATTTACTGCCTGATTTATTGCTCGCTTGCTGTGCTGTTTGCTCAAACTTCACCCTTGTGGAAAGGTCCTTTGGTGTCATCTTTAGGACTGCGGGAAGGGAGGATTGTGTTCTGTTTGCCTACAATGTGCTTAGCCTGTTTGGTGGATTAGATTGGCAGGAAGCTTCCTGAAAGTGAATAAACTGTAATTTGTTTGATGTTAGTCCTGAGCAAAATATGAGTTAATATGGCTATGGTGTAGTGCAGTGCTTTTCAACCATTGTGCCGTGGCACCCTGGGGTGCCTTGAATGTTGGTCAGGTGTGCCATGGACAACACTGCCCTCTGTCCCTTTTTCCTTCCTTCCCTCTTCTGATGCCCTCTTGTGTCTCTGCCTCCCAAAGGCTTGCACAGCTGTTTGTGCAGCAGCCCTGGTTACAAGCTCCCCGGGTGAACGATGCCTCTGGGTCTGGCTAGGGGGTGCTTCCCAGGCCCCTGTGGGGCAGTGTGAGGAGGCACCTCTCTTTGGGGGCAGCTCAGAGACCAGGGGGGTCAGCAGCAGCTGCCCAGAGGACTCCAGAGGAGAGAGGAGAGGAGGCTGAGGGAGCACTCCACAAGGGAGGGTGTTTGAAAAAGAGTGAGAGGCTGCCAGCTTGACACGCAGGGGGTGACATAACTGGGCTCCTGAGACCCACACGGGTGCCGCAGAAAGAATGTAGTTGGCCAAGGGAGTCGTGGACTCAAAAATCTTGAATGCCTCTGGTGTAGTGGATATTCTGGAAGTGCTGTTCATATTGTAATTTGTATTGTAAACCTGATAACAAGGTTTCAGGGACAAGTTTTGTGTCTTCCTGCGAGGGGCAGCGCAGGAATGTTTCAGCACTCTAATGGAGAGAGAGCTGCCTACCAGCAACTTTTAACCTAAACTTTAAAATTGTAAAAATTGTATTTCTCAGCCTGGGATCTTGTTTAAGATTCCCTAGGGTAACTGGGGGCTCTGAGCCCCACTTTAAGACTGTGCATTTTTAATCGTCTGTTATGCGTTGTCTCAAGTGGTGGTGGGGGGGAATGTTCCCGGTCCTTAATTGTAAATCGGCTGGTTGTTTTTTGGGGGGATCTGGGCTAGCCTTGCTCTCAGGCTCTGTGTGCTTCCTGAGCATAAAAGCTTTAGGACTGCCAGGGGATACAGAGCACTTATAATGTGTATATTGGGTCTGGCTGAAATGACTGGCAGAATCCGAGACCAGGGGAAAGAGACGGTGGAAGAAGATTGGAAGAAATTTAAAATTTATCTTAAGAAATATTGTAAAATTAATGAGTGTTAAAATGTCGAGGTTATAGAGAATAGGGGATTACAGCTGTAAAAGATTAAGTAAAAGAAAAAAATAAGGGAAAATTAGATAAGATTAAGGGGAAGGATTTGCTGAAACAAATTTGGGAATTGGAATGCAGAAAGGGGAGGTATGGGGAAGTCGGTGAAGCAAGGTTTAAGGAAAAAAAAGGTTGTGAAAGTATACATGTTTGCTTGTTTTTTGTTGTTGTTTGTATGTCTGTATTGTGTTTTGTTTGTGTTTAATTGTGAAAAAAACAATAAAAATTTTATTTAAAAAAATATAATGTGTATATTGTGCAATGCATTTGTTTCTAATGCATTTATCCAGCTGAAGGGTTAGTGTTTTTATTCCACCCTCCATTGTAGGGTAACAGCCTCCCACAGAAATGCATTACAGAATTCTGAAATAAAATAATTATATATACAGTTCAGGGGCTACCACAGCTACTGCTCCCCATAAATGTTAAACAGCTCTTGATTTGAGCTGGGACTACTTTAAACCTGTAGACCTACACATTTGATTTGGAGGAAGTTCCATTTAGAACAATTGGGCCTAATTGTGAGTAGGAATATATAGGACTGCAGTTTAAGAGAGAGAGAGAAACAGACACTGTTATGAACCCACCTTTGAGGATTATGATAAAAAAGCCAGTTGTAAACATTTAAAAGAACAAAAAATAAAAGCACCCCTCCTGCTGCAAAATGATCTCTGTCTGAAAACTAAGCTAGAGAGGAAAGATTAGAAGAGAGGCTGGGGTGAAAAAGTCAGAGAGCAAGACACGGTTAGATCAAACATAATCAGATGAAAATCCTCATCATTAACAGGCTTAGCCTATGATCAACTCCAATTATGGCAAACTACAGTAAGAGATGGGGAGGGACTTGGGTGGCCCAGCGCCAGGAGTGCGTCAGTTTAGTAGAAGGAAACTGTCCAAGCACACCGGCTGTGCCACATGCAAGAGTGCACAACCCAGCCAGGTGGACAGGGTATAAATATTATTTGTATTAGTATTATTAGTATTATTGAAAATAAAGGATCTTGCACCTGTGGCTTGTGGGGCTTCTTCGAAATAAAAAGTTATGCCTACCAGCTCCAGATCCTTACAAGGCCTTCTTTGTCTATCTTGTTTTCTCCTCATTCTGTGAGTAGCCATTGCCACCCTACTGAAGACTGTATAACAGTGTGGTCCAAACCACAGCCTGCAGGCTACATGCGTCCGCAAGGCCTTTTTGGTCAGCCTTCAGCAACATTCAAGAAAAAAACACCTTAAGGCCTTACAAAATATTGTTGTCATATGTTGTTAACAAAAGAACATAATCTTTCTCTGCATCAAATTTGTTTAATAATTAAATCTATTAATTGAGTGTTTAATTACAAACACTTTAATTCTAGTATGGAAATTTAATTTACTGTTTGTCTTGTGGCCCACTTTGTATGAAAAGTTGGACCGCCTTGCTGTATAATGTGGTCTCCCAAGGTCTCTCTCTTCGCTCCTCAAACCCTTATAAGGAGGAGAACCCTTGGATTGTTCTTGAAAATGTGAAGGCGGTATGTCAAATTCTCAGTTGGGTGGGAGGACACATAAGGCAGCGGCAGAAGGTTCCAAGTTCAGTCCTCTCCCCAGTAATCTTCAGTTAGGCTCAGGCCTCATTCCAGATTGGGGGGGGGAGTCTTCTTGCTCAGTGAGCCTTTTCCAGCACTGACCACCTTTTTGCTTCCCACCACCAGGCAAGCACATTTGTGAGACGGGCACATGTGCATATTAACTGCATCCATACCATGGAAAGTGTGCCTAGTTTGGCTGCAGAGGTGCTGGTTTGGGGACCCCAAAAGTGAGTTCAGTGTAGGGGAAGTGGAGCCTGAAAGTAAAAGGCACATTGCTGAACTTAATGAGCAAGGGCTGAGATTCCCCCACGAGTTGTGCACTGCAATGTTTCATTTGCAAATAAAAACAGAATGCTTCCCAAACAGAGCACACTAAGTATGCTCTGCAGCTCTAGATGTGACCAGGGAGGCAGGTCCATCCCTGACATCATTTGTTTGGGGGCTGAGCTGCTGAGAAGCCAAGGCTGGCAGGGTGGGGAGCCCTTAAGTCATTAGCAGGAGTGTCTGGTGGTGTACGTGTGTCTCTCTTTGAAGCCAGCTTGCTCCACGGAAGGAAGGGCAGGCAGCCCTGTGTGAATTGCATAGGAGTCAAAAGGTTTCCCTGGATATGTCGGCCACAACTGCAGCTGTTCTTCTCTCTCTCTTCCTAGAGGCTCACCTTTCTGCACAAGCACCTGTCAACGGTAATGCATTTCCAGACTTCTTTCCTGTTGTCCCTGTTCCTAAAGTACTGTAGCAGTAATGCATGTGGCAGTTGGGAAGCTAAGCACTAACCGAATTGCATGTTTTGCATTTTATTACCATTTCAATCTACCTTTTACGTTCTTCCCCACCCCAGCCTGCTGAGAACAACTTTCCAGACAGCTGATTAAGTGGACTCTAGCCTAGTCCAGGAAAGCAAGTTGTTCTCTAGTAAACGGTTTAGTCTTTAAAGTGCTGCAGGACTCTGTTGGTTTTTCTTCAAGAAACCAATACAGTTGCTCCTTTGGAAGTTCCTTTCAGATGTCTTAGTGGCCACACTTGATGTTCTTAAGTGCATGGAAAAGATGAGTGTTTGCATTTGCAGGATCCAGAGCAGTCCCATTGAAGCTAATCAACAAGATTAACTTGTCCATTCATTAATTTCAGTGGGTCTGTTTTGAGTAGGATTAAGTACTTAGGTCAGCCTCCATTACTGAGGACTGGAAATGTAGCCAATGTACCACCAATGTTTAAAGAGGGATCTGGGGGGATCCTGGAAATTGTAGCCCAGTTAGTTTAATGACTGTCCTGGGAAAACTGATGGAAAGTTGAATAGCTCAATGGAGATGTCAACCCAGTGTGATGTTCAACACTTTGAACTGAATGTTGGAGTCCTGGGTTCAAATCCCCACTCAGCTATGAAGCTGAGTGATTTTGGGCCAATCACTGTCGCCCAGCCCAGCCCAGCCTCATCCATTGTGAGGATAAAATGAAGATGGAGGAGAACCATGTATGCCACTGTGAGCTGCTTGGAGGAAAGGTGTGGTGATGATGATGATGATGATGATAAATAAATAAATCCACTGTAGTCATCTTCATGCAAGAACAGAATGAAGGTTGAGGTATGTTTGCTCGTGTGTGTGTGTGTGTGTGTGTGTGTGTGTGTGTGTTGAAAACCTCTCATGCTTTGGGCTTTTAAAGGTTGTTTGCAGCAAACAGCTTGTGTTAGTACCATGCATGGCGTACGTGAGAAGAAGGAGCAGCCAGTGCCCCTCCCTCTCTCCCTTCCCACAGAAACCTCCTAAGAACACACAGGTGTCCCTGCCTCCCCCTCCTTTCACAATATAACTTCTGTCTCTTGTTTCAACAGCAGAATTGGTGTGTTTAAGAGGGAGCAACCAGAAGGTTTTTGTATTAAACACCAAGGGCTTTAACACAACTGAGATACTACTCTTACTGCCCTTCTTTATTTCTTTGATTCATTATTTTAAAATTTCTAATCCCTCTCTCCAGTTAAAACTGCTCCAGGCATTGAGCTCAGTGTGCCTTGGGCTGTTGCAACTTCTTTCTTTAAGCAAAGTGTGGAGGAATAAGAGCAACAGAAGCTGTTAAGAATTCACTCTTTTTCTGAACAGCAGCATTATTCAGCAGCTTTTGAGTTTACCGTGAACACAGCTCAGTTTCTGTAGGTGTGTGTTTGGGGTGTGTGTGTGTTGTCTTTTCCTAGACTATCTTCAATTAGTGTAACTAGCAGCAAAACAAATAGGAATTGCAATGGCCCCCTGCTTCGGCTGGTGGGAGTTGGGAGTCCAACAATATCTGGAGGACTGTAGGCTGAGCAACCCTGTTTTACACATCATCATCCCTATTCTGCCTTTGGGGAGGGGGAAGATCTTGGAGCGTTGCCTTCATCATTTTGTTTCTGACCATGCAGCCCAAGGTAGTGTACGTGCAGAGGCCGTTTTAGGGGAATGTGACCTGTTTGGTCGCCCTGGGTGTGGAGCCTTGGGAATGCCACAGGGGTGCTGCAACTATGATGCAGAATGGAACGCGAGAGGAGGTGGCTGCCCAGGGCGCTGCTGAGATTTGAGACCCCAAGGTCCTCCACTGCGTCTGTGGCCCCCGCATTTTGAGCTCACAACAACCTTGTGAGGTAGATTAGGCTGAGAGATGGAGACTGATTCAAGTGAGCTTCACGGCTGAGTGGGAATTTGAACCTGAATTCCCAGGGGCAGCCAACCTCGTGCCCTCAAGGTCTTGTATCCAACTATCTAATTCTAATCATTTGCTATGCTGGCTGGAGCTGATGAGAGCCGTAATTCAGCAGCAACCGGCAGTCTCCACATTGACCCTCTCTGCTCTACTATTATACCACACAGGCTCTTTTTATGACATTTCCTTACTCACAGTTGCCATCCTACTCATAGGATGCCTGTCCTAGCTACTTTCCCCAGACCAATAGCAGTTAAATATCTGTCGGATGCATTTATTTCTGAGGAAATATTCATTCTTTCATTCAAGGTCCCCACTCTTTAGCAAAAAAAAAAAAAAAAAAAAAGGTTCCCAGAGCAGCTTTCAAATTACTAAACATAGTCCCTGCTCTCAGGTTTACAATCTTAGAAAGACATCATACAATGGGAAAACAGATTAAGAGAGAGAAAGAATTAACCAAATTCTGGTTGAATTTCTTAGCTACTAGTTAATTACTATATATATATATATATATATATAATATATATATATACAGGGAGAGTAGGAGGAAACTGGGCATCAAACAACTTTTATGTTGGAAGAGGTTTAAGAAATGCCCACTGATGGATTCTGCCAGTGACTGAGGCAGCCAAGGAGAGAAGGGCTGTCCAGTCAGAAAGGTTTAACAAGGCAATTTAGCCTGGAGAGGCGGCAGCTTACGCATGAGCAATCCCATACGTATTACATATATATATATATATATATATATATATATATATATATATGCTTTCGTAGATTTTCACGGGTACAGGAATGCAGGTTTTGGTGTCCTCGGGTGTCTTCCTGTGTAAAAGTTGGGGTGTCTAGGCGACGTTTCGACGAGGTCTCACTCGTCATCTTCAGGCTGGTGCTTTCGGCTTCTTGTTACTGGAACAAGAAGCCGAAAGCACCAGCCTGAAGATGACGAGTGAGACCTCGTCGAAACGTCGCCTAGACACCCCAACTTTTACACGGGAAGACACCCGAGGACACCAAAACCTGCATATATATATATATATATATATATATAGTTGGTTGTTATTTATGTTATACTTTTATACACATGTTTAGCTACAGTACTTTATTTTGTATGTGTTCTAAGTTATATCTATTTTCCTTCTAGGGTCCAAGTGGTCTTATATGGGTAAGTAGTGACTTTAGGTCAATACATTAAATTGTAATTCTTTATCCTATTTGTTTAATGTCAGGTTAGATCTAGGGAGGTCTCATTTAGTTAATAGCAGGATCTGTTTTGTTGATCTAATGCCTACATATCTTCCATTCATCCACACAACAGGGCACATCAGGTGATAACAGCATGTGATGCCATGATGTGGTACAGATATCATAGGAACATGTTGTGTCACATGAAATCAATTCTTGTTCAAAGAGGTGGGCTGAGCACTTGGCTAACTACCAGGTCAACTGGTTGGCCAAAAAAGTAAGTGAAGGTAGAACTTACCAGGCCACTGCTAGGTGAAGGCCACACAAGTACAGTGGTACCTCGGGTTACATACGCTTCAGGTTACATACGCTTCCGGTTACAGACTCCACTAACCCAGAAATAGTACCTCGGGTTAAGAACTTTGCTTCAAGATGAGAACAGAAATTATGCTCCGGCGGCACGGTGGCAGCAGAAGGCCCCATTAGCTAAAGTGGTGTTTCAGGTTAAGAACGGACCTCCGGAACAAATTAAGTACTTAGCCCGAGGTACCATTGTATCTGAAAATGAGCTGGGGTAGAAGGCAGCGGCTGGCTGGCGGCAAAGGTGTATTGTGTGCCGACAACGTTGTGCTGTATAAATGGAACATCTTTGTATTTAGTTCCTTCATGTTGAGTCTCAAGGACCAGGGCTTTTTTCACCCAGAACTTGCAGGAACTCATTTCTGGCACCATTGCCATTGGAAAACAACAAGGGAGTTATTCATGGTGAGTTCCGGTACCTCTTTTTCTAGAAAAACAGCACCTTCAAGGACCGTGTGTTAAAGCCCAGGAATGGAAATCCTAATGTGTTGTGTCAAGTGAAGAGCTGGAAAAGGTTCTTTACTTGACTTTGGATGGCTGGTGTTTACTAGCTACTGGACATCCCTTACCTGCTTTGCTGGGTAGAAACACTCTGAGAGCTGGAATGTGGCTGCAAAGGAGACAGTTAAGTCTGAATTCTGCAGCTGGCTAAGGGGCTTCAAGGATATGCCATTTGCATGTGGGGTGAACTGATGCAGGTTTATACACAGGCATGATATCTACGGTCACTTCCAGACTGCCAGTATTTTGTGGGAGGGGTAGAAGGGCTTTCTGGAAATTTAGGTTTATCTTATCTTGTTTGTTTGTTTGTTTGTTTGTTTGTTTGTTTGTTAACCCTCAGTGTAAGCTTTGTGCAAGGCAAATTAGGATGAATATTCAATAACAGGAGAAGCCCTATCTGAGTGCATGGCTGTTCCTCTGTGTTTTTATATTTGTAAATATGCAGATATTAAAAGCACACACGAACACATATGCCCATATCACTCTCTCTCTCCACAGGGAAATTGACCTTGTAAGACACACTTAGGGAAGTGGATTGCTGCAAGGTAGCCTCCAAAGCGAAATAGCTACATGGCACAATTTCCCCTTAGGGGAAATCTGTCTTGGAATTATTGTTTTTTCCAAGAGACCTTTGTGTCACATGGGAAATGATGCAGAGTGTTTGCTGTCTCCGCTGCCCAGCCCCACACAGTTCATCTTTGTGTGGAGTTATGACTTGCTGAAGCTGCTTGTTTCTCTCCTATAAGAGTTCCCCAGTCCTACTTTAGCAAGCCGGACGCGGGTGGCGCTGTGGGTTAAAGCCTCAGCGCCTAGGACTTGCCGATCGCATGGTCGGCGGTTCGAATCCCCGCAGCGGGGTGCGCTCCCGTTGCTCGGTCCCAGCACCTGCCAACCTAGCAGTTCGAAAGCACCCCCAGGTGCAAGTAGATAAATAGGGACCGCTTACTAGCGGGAAGGTAAACGGCGTTTCCGTGTGCAGCTCTGGCTCGCCAGATGCAGCTTTGTCACGCTGGCCACGTGACCCGGAAGTGTCTCCGGACAGCGCTGGCCCCCGGCCTCTTGAGTGAAATGGGCGCACAACCCCAGAGTCTGTCAAGACTGGCCCGTACGGGCAGGGGTACCTTTACCTTTACCTTACTTTAGCAAGCATCAGCTCTCAATTCCTTTCCTTATTGCTGCAGGACATTTCCATTTATCTGAGTCAGATAAGGAGCTCCCCCCCCCCCCAGGTCCTGCCCTCCATGTAGGAAGCTTGCAGGAGACCTTTGCACATTTAAACCCATTCCACCGTTTCTAAAGACGCAGAAATCGTGTGTGCGTGCACGCACAGGCACCTCAGGTATATAACATTGCTGTTGAAAGGTGTTTCATCTGCAGGATGTGATTCTAACAGGTCAGGGCAAGGTTGTGGTGGCCCTTGGAGCAGAGAGGGCAGGAAGAGACAATTCTGTTCTGCTGGCAAGGCAAGGAGAGGAGAGGGAGTTGTTGCCATTAAGTGTTTATCTTTCAAGGAGTTTTTATCTTCACAACTCCACTAGGTGGGCAAGGCTTAGAGAGAGAGAGGCAAGTCACAAAGTGAGTTTTATGACTGAACAGTGCTTTGAACCTAGGTTCTCCCTGTTCCTAATCCAAATAAGGACTCATCCATCTGTTTGGCCCGCTACTTCCCCCCTGGAAAACCCACTCTTTACCACTGAATTGGAACAAATGGCAATTAGGTTTTCTGCGGATTGCTGGTTGTTCCGATTCAGCAGTAAAGAGTGGGTTTTTCAAGGGAAAGCTGCAGGGCAAAACCACCCAGACCTGTTCTTAGAAAGCGGGGGAGAAGTGGGAAACCGCTCAAACCCTTTCAAGGCATGAAACGAGCGTAACACTGGGTAGGCCATAAGGCTTGTCTCAAGAAGCAATTGTCTGTATAGTTCCCAGGGCAACATATACCTGCCTATTCACATGTCCAAGGTTCTTTAAAAAACAAACAAATTTCCAGGTACACATTTTCCACAATTAAATATGAAACAATACACCCAACGACTTCCCTTCTCCTCCTCCGATGGTTCAATGTACTTTCAAAATTAGCTGCATATTCTATTTCTTCCATCTAGTTTCCCCCTTCCCATCATATCTTAATCTAAATTATACTGTTGAATTTACAATAATCCTGCTAGCCTTTTCACTTGCTCACAATAGTTTTCCAAATGGGTCCCTAAATGGATGTTTGAGTTCAAGGTATTTCTCAGTGTCTGAAGAGGCTGAAGGCTACTGGGCGAGACAGGCCAATGGTCTGACCCTGTGCCATGCATCTTCCTGTGTTTCAAATCTGGATTCCTTTATTGTCTCCCTGAGGTTCTTCTGATGGGGAGCGAGTGTGGCCCAAGATGTTCCCCTTTTGTGGAGGAGTATTCCAGTCTCCCATTGATTTTCACAATGACATTCTCCAGTATGATTCAACTCTTCTGCCCATAGAACTGGAAGGCTACAATGTCTCCCCCACTGAGGAGTTTATTTTGACCAATAATGGACATTCAGGTAAGGGAGGCTAACATGGACAGAGAAAATTGAACTATTACTATCATTACATAATGACAAAGAATACTATTTAGCATTTGCACAGGACTTTAGAGTGTTCTGATTATTCTCAATATATATTTTCTCAATAATTTCTAATAATTTATTATCTCTCTCTTTTTTTAAAAAAAGATAATATAGGCCAGCCTTATTCCCATTTTGTAGACATTCAGGGATCAGCATAGATAGGATTTGGTTGGGTTTACAGTCTTCACCACACTGCCTGTTTATTTTGGCACATAACTTTGGATCTAGTTTCCCCTCCTGTGTGGAGGTGTTGTCACACATATTGGTTCTGTGCCCATATGTGTGTCTACACAAGTGGCCACTCAAAGAACCTCAGTTACAAGTTAAATGACTTGCTATTGGTGACGATTATGACGGTCTTAATACAGTGCTACTAATAGACGAAATAGCTCTAAAACCACAAGGTGTACAACTCTCACTAAAGCACAGTGAATAATAACCACCTAGCATTTTAAATTGGGCTTGGCAACCAAGGTACAATGTTCTTCTTCCAAGTTTAGAGGGATGAGCTGCATTTAGTATTTTGTTTCATATTCTGGATATTGGCAGCAGTCAGAATATGGAAAAATACAACTAGCAGAGGAACAGGATGCTTCAAAACGTTGCTAGTTTGTCATCCCTTTAGTTTCTTCATCCCAACAAATGCACATGATATTCAGAATTTCCTTCCTTAGTAATCTCCATCCATATGCACATAGTAAGTTGTATCTGAACTTCCTTAATGTCTTTACAGGATTGTGAATTATTCCTTTTTGCAGCAGGCTTGATGACAAAATAACTCTCTTCCTTCAATGGCTGCAAAGTTTCTTGTTGCCTCTGTACCAGTGTGAAATATAACCCTTTTAAATGCACTAACATCCCAACATTAATCCTTTGAGGACTGTGATATTAGCCAGTGTTTTACTAGGAGCCCTAAATGAAGCTCTCAGTTTAAGATCTTGCCCCCAAAAGTGAGAGCAATCTGAGCTGCATCCTAACTTGGGAAGCTACATCTAAGATATAAATTAGCATATGCAATTTTATGTAAATATGTGTCATGGACCTGCACTGAGTTTTGCCCCTGCATTTAATACTGTCATGTCATGTTGTCTCCCTCTCCCATCTTCTCCTCTCCTAGTAAGAATGAGTCTTTCTCAAAGCATGCGCATCCGGAGTCTCCCTTCCCACTATTCTGCCGCTCAGCTCCATTTACACTGGGGAAACCGGAACAAGCAGGAAGGATCTGAACACACAATTGGTGGGAGGCATTTTGCTGCTGAAGTAAGATTTTTAGGCATTCAATCTATTGCGCCTTTCAGATATCTGTTTATTAATTTATTTATTAAAACATTTTATGCCACATTTTGGCCCTACAAAGGGCACCCAAGACAATTTACAATTAAGATCCAACAACAATTAAAATTGAAAGGCAAGATTAAAATACAGTAAATTTCCTGCCTTATTTTTCCTTTTCCTTATGAGGCTGGCAGAAGCAGACTGCTAGTTGCTCTCTTCTTCTGCACAGCACAGCTGGATTTGTTCATCACAAGTTTTGTACGCCACTTTTAGGACCTTTTCTCACGTGGAAAAGCAGCTAATATTTTTAATATACATATTTTAATCAAACTTACTAAGTACAGAAAAATATATTTTGAGTTTCACAACTTTAATAATAATAAAAAGTTTATTAGCTCTTGCATTCTATTTCATTCCCTGATATAGTTTTCCTCAGGACAAACAACTCTCTACAAGCCCCACCTTCTCAAAGCAACACATTTACAAATCTTGTAGCACCAAATCATAACACAGACAAGTTCCAAATGATACCAGAAAAATCTTTTTTTCCTTAAAGATTCAATACATGGTGAACTATCATATCTGTTTAGCAGGGAGAAATCTATGCCAAGTGTAACTATTATTATTTTTTACTACAGCTCCCATCAGTCCCAGCCAGCATGACCAAAGATCAGGAATGATGGGAGTTGTAATCACCAATATCTGGCAAACCCTGGGATGAGGGTGCTCTTAAGGACTGCTGATTGACCCAGTTATGCTAATAAGTTTTGCAATCCTAGTTTAGATATTTATTCTACAGAACTGCCTGGGAGGACCAATCTGAACACAGCACCACAATCCATTCCATGCAAGGGTCAAACTAGGCTTTATTTCACCTGGGTCAAAGACTCAGTTTGGCATGCACACCCATTCATTTGTGCACACGCATGCACACACACACACACACACACACCGGGGGGGGGGCTGGGAACCTCAATGGCGCCCCTCTGGAGGCTTCACCTGGGACAAAAATCTAGCTACCCCCCCATAGCTATGACACTGTTCTGTGGACGCCACAAAGAATTGCCATTATGTTCAGTTCCTTCAGTTCACAACCACAAAGCTGTTTCATGTCTTGCACTAATTATAAGTCTAGCAGAAGACATGGATACCTGCCATGAAGTATAATTCAAGGTCAATTACAAGGGACTGAGAGCGCAAGGCTGCAGCAATACATTTTGGTTCCTGAGGCAGAAAACCCTAATGGTGTGATGTTGGCACTCTTCCCCATCCCGTATTCCTTGCTGTTAACAGGGGGCATCCAAGTTGCCCAGAAGCTGTCCCACATAAGCCACCTCATTAAAATACCATATTCTTGGTGGACTGTACCCATCAGACAGATTTCGCCCGTCTTCCATTCTGCCACTTCTGTAGTTAATGCTGTAATTCTGATGGTCTGTTACAGAGATAGGGGACCTTTTCTGACTGGTGGGCCAGATCTTACTCTCTCCCCCGCCAGCAGGCCAGATTTGACAAGCGGGCAAGGCTGTCCACATGTCAATCAACAGACATCACAGTGATGTCACGAGATGCTGTGCTAAAGTCCTTTGCAAGCAGCTCCAGACTGCTCCGTAAACCTCTGGAAATCAGTTTTTGGAGGTTCAAAGAGCGACTCTGGGAGGGGAAAGTGGTTTGCATTGAATAGAAATCACTTTCCCCTCCTTGAGTAAGGCACACTCCTACCACACATCAGCTGAAGGGGAGGGGAGCACATCTGGTCTCTGCAAAGGAAGAATCTGTTGCTCGTTGTTCTTTTGAAGCCTCATGTCTACCTGCCAAATGGGGAAGCCTGGTGGGCCAAGTCAAGCCCCCAGGCCCCAAATTCTGCACCTCTGTTCTATTATAACTAGGCCAGGCTTGGGGTGTGTAAAATCCAGCATGCTGGTCCATTCAGGCATATATATATATAGTCAGTTTTCCTAATCAGGCAACTTATACTGCAGTAAGGCATCCAGTAAATCAGGTTATCTTTTGCAAGCTTTGTAAATTTGCTAAGCCCAGGGGCAGAGCTACCTGCCCCGGCACCCGGAGCGGCGCGGGGGCGGGGCTAGCTGCCCATGCGGTGAGCGTCCCTAGCTGCCTGTCGCCCGCATGGCGAGCGTGGAGGGGGCGCGCCGCTAGATGCTCGCAAGTATGGGGTGGGGGTGGGGGTGGTGCAGTGATGTCACCCACCCTCACGGCTGACACCCAGTGCACACCGCACCCCCCACACCTGCCTTCCTCCACCAGTGGTTAAGCCTTCAGTTGGTGTTTGCCATTTTATTCCCCCTCTGTAGCTCCACATCGTACATTACAACTCTGACAAATATCGGGATGTGAACTCAGCAATGGACAAATCAGATGGACTGGCAGTCTTGGCAATCCTGATTGAGGTAAGCAGCTCTTTCCCTCAAAAGTGTCCAAAACTAAAGTCTACCCAGAGGTTTAATATAATTCAGGTCTTATCTGGCTCTTGGCAGTTGATGATTCTATCCAGGTTCCAAGCTTGTCCCAGAGCTAGAGAAGCTTTGGCCCTCCAGTTGTTGTTGGACTCCAACTCCCATCAGCCCCTGCCACACTTGCCAATGCTCAGCGATAGCAGAAGTTGTAGCCCATCAACATCTGGAGGGCCACATGTTCCCCACCCCTGCTCCAGACACAGGGAAAAGGAGGAGACAAGGCTCTTTTGATTGCCTGCCCCTGTGGATGAAGGACTGCTGCCCTGTTAAAAGCTATTTCATACATCTTACAATGCAAACAACATTATCTCCCTCCCCAAAGTATGCTTTGGTCACCAAATACGTTTGGAGTTGCTTTTCCAGTGCTATTTTGCTAATGGTTTAGTGAACTATAATCATGGCTATTAAGTATTTTAGAATGTGGTTGAAGAAATCACTCACCACCAGATGCCATTATTCTAATGAGAGCAGCTCTGGGGTTATTGAAACACAAATGTATTTGTGCCCTGAAAAGAAATGACCTCAGCCCACTAAATCTGTGGCTAGGCTTATATCGCCAACAAATGATGGCGTAAACTGAAACAACAAGGTCAGACCAAAACATTCAGGTGCCCAAAACATCCACATGGTCTTCTTCCCTACTGAGTAAACATGGGGAAACAATCCACCCAAAGCTCTCCTGTGCAAGTTCCATTGAAGTGGATGGGAGCTGTGCTACTGTGTTCTTGCGCAGGAGACCTTCCTGGTGGATTTTGCCCCTTGCTGGGCTCTCCTCTTCCATTACCATTAATGGTGCCTAATAAAGATCTGGAAGTACTTGCTGAACCTAAAACTATGCAGAATTATAATGGCTTAGAAAATAAATCTTCTCCTTTTTTGTTACAGACAGGCACGTTCAATCCATCATTTGAAAAGATTTTCAGTCATTTTCGGAATGTGAAATACAAAGGTAGGAAAGAGGATTTCAACTGGAATTTTGCATCCTTAATTCACTAGAGATCAGCGTGAGGTTGGTTTGCTGTATGTGGTACTGAATTGTTTGTAAGCAAGTGATAACCCAAAGCAGCATAAACAAAAAATTAAAAAAGCAGCCTAACAAAATACATTCTGCTTGTTTTATCCATCAATACCATTGTCGTGCACCCACCCTGTTGTCTGCCTCGCTGTCATCTCCCCACCCCTGACCTAGACAAGTTAGCTAACCTGCGGTTGAGCATGTGTCATGATGACAATACTGGATTGCTTTTGTTGCTCAGCAAAGTGTGTGTTTTGCAGCAGCCAGCCACACTGATTGGCTGTCAGAGCTGTGACCTTTAGAGCAGAAGACTTTGCTTCTCTAGCTAGATGCAGAGCTTCAGGGGGACTGACTGGTGAAAGTGCTCATTCTCTTGCATGCACAAATGAAACCTCCTTATCTGGAATAATGGAAAAGAGGGCAAAATAAAGAATTAAGGAAATGCTGCATCCAAAAATATGTTGAGAGTTGGGCTGGCAAGAATATAGTTATTAAAAAAAGGGTGATCTTTTTCAGATCAGGAAGCCTTCATCCCAGGTTTCAATGTCCAAGATTTGCTCCCAGACAGACTGGATGAATATTACCGCTATGAAGGATCCCTGACCACACCTCCTTGCTACCCAAGTGTTCTTTGGACAGTTTTTCGAAAGCCAGTACAAATTTCAGAGGAACAGGCAAGGGTCTATAAAACATATGTTCTCAGTTAAAGCTGGTAATCTTGCCAGTAATTGTGCATGAAGTGTATACCTGCCTTCTGAGTTTCCCACCTACTTACACCTTTATGGATGCTGCTGTTGTGCACAGGCTAGACTCCCATCTACCGTCTTAGCTTTACTGTGTTGGATTCAAACTGAAGATTAAGACTGAACTTCCGCCCTAGTGTTTGAGACATGGAAAACACAGACAGGGCTAATTCATTTGACCCAATGTGAAAAATGAAATTGTTCTGTCATCAGTGTGTCCAGGGCTGTGCAAGCAATCAGAGGACAATATGAGAGTTGCAACCCAAGAGATCTTGGGGCACATTTAAGAAACTTGGGCAAGACCAGAATGTGTGCTGAATGTAGTAAAATGGTTGTCCACACATTCCATCACAGGCCTAGTATCCTCTGCAAAACCAAACCAAACCACCTGAAGGATAAACAGTAATGTACTAAATTGCAACCCAGGCAATGCACTCAGCAGTGGCGCAGCATGGGGGAGGCCGTGGCCCCAGGCACATTTTTAGGGGGTACAACAAGGTGCCCCTCGGCTAGCTGAGAGGGAGGGGAAGGGCACAGCTGTAAGCAGGCCTGACTTGGGGCGGAAGCAGCAGAGAGAAGAGGCAGCGGCAGCTTTGCCGCCCCTCTCCCTCACTGAGTTGGTAAGTGCAGCCCCCACCTGGCTGACTGGAGGGGTGCACACCTCCCCTGCTGCCTCCTCCTCATGGTGCCCTCCAAGCCCTGCCCCCGGCCCCCGGATTTGTAGCTATTTGGTGGACTGAACCCAAAGAGTACTCATTAATGGTTCCTCATCATCCTGGGGAAAAGTGACAAGTGGGGTACTGCAGGGTTCTGCCCTGAGCCCATGGTTGTTCAACATCTTTATAAATAACTTGAATGAGGGACTTGAGGGATGCTCATCCAATTTGCAGATGGCACTAAACTAGGAGGGGTACAGAAGACAGAATCAGAATTCCAAGTGACCTTAACAGATTGGAGAATTCAGTCGCTTGAATTTTGACTAGTACTGTAGAGTCAATACATCCCAGCTACAGAAACATTAAAGCTAGATACTGGGAGAAATGTCTCAACTGTAATAAGGACTGGTGGTGGAAGGAAAGCATGCTTTTCCTGCCATTCTGATATCATTAAAACTGTTGTGCTTTGCTCATAGCTGCTGGCCCTGGAAAGCACTCTGTACTGCACACAGCCTAGTGACCCTGCCCCTCTTGAAATGGTGAACAACTATAGGAGAGTCCAGGAGTTTGATGAAAGGCTGGTTTCTGTGTCCTTCCGGCAAGGTAAGCAACAGAAGATTCAAATTTCAAATTTATGCAGAGTTTAGAGTTTTATAAATTGCAGCAGAGACACTTCCAAGCCAAGAACAGTTCATTGGGTGTGCAGCATTTCCCCTTAACATGATATGAAATGGGGTGTCATTAAATACAGTTTTGTTTGTTTATCTTGCCTTCTGTTGGGGCAGCCCGACTGTATTTCCTAAAAGGCTAAAGTTGCAACAAGCGCTAGCAAGTGGATGTGTTGAACTAAAGGTGAGGTGGTCCAGGAGCTTTGCTGGCACCAGCTGAATCCTCAAGATAACCTTGGGTGTGGTGGAGATCATGGCCACCTGTGGGCTGCTCTGCTGTATAAAAAGCATTTGTGCCACTGCCTGTGTGCAGACAAGCCATCTCCTTGTTGTGGAGTTTGTCCCACAGAGTGCTGGGAGCAGGGGTTGTGAGTTTGCTCTTCCTTTAAGTAAACCTGGCGGTGTGGACAGCTTTCTTTGGGAACCTGAGTATCTGGGCCCCTGTGAGCCCTCCTCTGGCTCTGCACGATATAACAGCAGACAAGGGTATTTTGCTGTCTGATGATCTGCATCTAAAAGGAACCACAACTTTGCATTGCAGGAAGACACTTTCTGGGGAGTTTCAAAGGATCCGATGAAGCCATACAGGAGAATGAGTTTGACACGTAATAAAAAGACTCATAACGCTGGATTGATTTAAAAAACCCACCGTCATGAGTGGAAAAATTGGCCATCTGACTGAAGTGAAATGTGAGGCAAAAATAATTGGCTGAAGATTATTATATGGTTCTAAATTATTGGCAAATCAATGCAACAATGACCTCTGTCAAAAAGAAAAAAGGGGGGAGCCTTGTATTTTACTGTGGATCAGTAATGTTTTTTATTACTGTCACAGGGCTTCTTTTCTGCAAACTGAACTGCAAACTTTGTTGCTTTACAGCAAAGAAAGTATGCATAATGCAGTCTTATGCATGTTTACTTTCAAATAAGCCACTGTTTCAAAAGGAGCTTATTCTGTTAATTCTGCACAGAATTGCAGCTGTAGTTTCCCTCAACTGTATAAACAACTCAGGAGGGATTCTCCACTAGATTTCTGAAGAGGTCTGAAATTGTAGTACTCTAAAATCATATGGGGAAACCCCAAACTTTATTTATTATTTATATAGCACTGACAGGGTGAACAGCAGTTAAATGCTCCAATACAGCTTTTACATGGAGCATGAACCAAGCAGCTGGCAGAAGACTTCATGCGCAAGGTGCACCAGAGAGCACTTTCAGGGACACGTGCCTTATGCCTTATGCCACCCCTCTGTCTTTATGCCTGTGCTGTGCTGGGCAGGCTAGACCTCTTTGTCTGCCCATCTGCTATTCAACTAGGGCATGTAACTCATAAACTAAGCTATAGTTTATACAGCTGACCCTCCCAAAGACAGGAAAGAAGGAAGAAAGAGATATGGGGAGATTTCCTTTCGCAACCCAGGATATTTCATGGGCCTTCAAACTTGTATATCATGAAAGCTACATTTCATTTATCCTTTGCACTTAACTAGACCAACCAAGCACTACGGTATCCATAAAATGTTGTGGGAGTTTTTAAGTGCTTTGCTCAAAATTGTTAATTTCTTTGAAAGTTCATATCTGGGATGCAGAATAAATCAAGTGGCAACTTTGGTGGGGACATAGTCAAAATCTAGGGTATCAAAATTATGGCAAGATGCCAAGGGCCCAGTAGTGCCAGTCTCCCAGCTCAAAAGAAGCAAGTCCAAATCAAGTTCTCTGCTTCTATCATAAATGTTTACCAACAGCTGTTTCCTCTGGGTGGACTTCTGTAATAGCCTCCCCTTCATGGGGAGGACAATGGCCCTGTGTGTACTCGTCAATGTCGGACATGTTTGCATCAGAAAAGGAGTGTGCTGTTCTTAGATTCTTGGCTGATGCAAAGCCCATTCCCAAGCCCACAAAACACTCAAAGATGTGCTCTGATCTGTGTTTACAGAGCTAAGAATCCACTAAACTGGGAAAGCTGAGCTCGCCTCTGTTCTGTTGAACTCAATTGTGGAAGCCCAGTCAAGCATGTACACCTGTACATATACATGCATATTATACAGGTACAGAGCATCAGAATTGGCTGGAGTTCCCCATCATATGTACACACATTTACAGTCCTAGGTTTGTTGCGACATAACGTGTGAAAAGGTCCCAAATGATCTGACATGCTCAGTGTTCTGCCTTAGAAATTAACACAAATTTAAATTTGTTTGAAAAGGAAAGGCAAAAGATGGCTAATTTTTCTGTAAACAAGGTTCTTTATTCTCTCCCTAAAGAAAGAAGCAGTGAGTGGTTCTTGAAATAATAAGCGTTGAGGTGGCAAATAGATTGTCTAATTTTATTTTATATTGTATTTTTCAATTGGTCACATAACGGATTTGTAATAAAGACTGCTCTAAGCTCTGCCTTGTACAGAATCCTTCATTCAAAGGAGCAAAAATAAAACTGAACTTAGAAAATTAGCGTTCTTAGCATGGGCAATGCGCCTACAGCTTAGGTACAGTGCCTGCCTCCTATCAACTCAACTCAGCTGGACGGCACACACACACACACACACACACACACACACACACTCGGTCCTGAGTCTGTTGCAGCGCCGTCACATTCCAAGCCCTGTAGCACTTTAGAAGCCTAACACAAACCTTTTTTGCTACCTCAAAAGGGGCTAATTTAATTATATCCTGTGTGTGGAAGTACTTTTTTCGTGAATCTTCCAACATTCAGCTATGTTGGATGTCTCTGTGTTGCAGTATTAGAGAAGCCACACCATGCATAATTTTATACACTTCTATCATGTCCCCCTTTCCTCACGTTTTCTCTAAAGTCTAAACAATTTTTTTCTAGCCACAAATGTTGTAACCTTTCCTCACAGTGGAGTTGCTCCAACCCTTTGAACCTCCTGACTGCCCTTTTCTGAACCTTTTCCCAGCGGTACAACATAGAAATAGAAATACTTTATTGTCACTGTACCACTTGTTTACAGTGAGATTAAACGAGCCCCCCCCCCTTTTTCAGGTGAAGTGACCTGAACTATACACAGCATTCCAAGTGAGGTTGCATCATAGATTTGGAAAACAACGTTATGATATTGGTAGGTCAGGCTGAAAGAATGCCTTTCCAGAGGCCACGCAGTGAACTTCCTGGCTGTGGGATGTGAACCCAGCTGTCATGGTCCCAGCCTGGCTCTGTAATCTATGCTATATCCTTAAATCTTTACAATTGGCCTTCCTCACTGCATTCTATACCCCATTCTCAATTTTTTAAGCATATTCAAGAAGCATTAAAGAAAAGACAAGTGTCAGCAATTCCACCAACACTGCATGGTCTACATCTGTAAGACATCTATTCTGAATTAATAACAATATGGCAGATCTTAATGATCATAGAAGTTTTTATCCCTATTTATTAAATTAAGAACAGTGGACGGAAAAGGAACAGAAAACAAAGGATGGGCCGAGGGTGAAATGCTTGGCACTCGAGGGCTGGAATTTCAGAATTACTTAAAAAACACAGATATGGGATTGTCACTTTCAAATTGACCATTTGCTGTATTTTTTCTAGGTAGAATCCCAGGAGCACGGTTCTAGATTCATCTGAGATCCCATGATAGTATATTATATTTGCATAATATATATTCAATTCAACAGGAAAGCAAAAAGGCATACATACCATATTTTTTTATTTCACTTTCTAGATTAATAAATTGCATCTCTCTCTCTCCACAAGAGAAATTACGTTTAAAAAGCAGAGTATTGTGGTACATGGCCGAGAAAAGCATTTTCTAAAATAGATGTGCATGTCTTGAAGCTGCTACACATTTTGGGGGGCTTGGTTTTGCCACAACCAGTTCACAGGGCTACCTCTCTAGAATGTGATGTGGGGGTGAAGGAATGTTTTGTGAATCCACACATTTAGCAGTGGGCATTGGAACAGGTACGCCACCTAAAAGTATTCTAGATTAGCATTCAGTAAATGCATTTGTTTTAAAGTATGTATCAATTTGGCTCTGCTGAAGGTTCTTCTGAGCTTCCTTGTGGTGAAACCCTCAAAAGACCGCAGGTGGCTCTCAAGCCAGTCAAGAGCTTTTGAGAGACGTTTGTTTTACACTTGTTGGACTTCTCTTTGATTTTTAACCTCTGGGGGATGCTGAAGATGCCTGCTGCAATTAACTTTCAGCCTCACAGATGGAAGATAACGGAAACTCTTGAGTCTCTGGATCCAGACTCCATCTGGACAGGTAGAAATGAAAGTCCAGCAAGCAGTATGTCTAAATCCACTGCCCAGAAACAAAAGAGGCCAACACAGTATATGCTTGCAGTGGTTTGGCTGGCAGTATTTGAACACACTGTTTAGACTTTCATTTCTCTAGTACTGGTGGTTGCTGCATGTGTATTTGTGTTCAATGCTGATGTGACATTGTGAAGGTTGCATTTGTCAGCACTGTCTCATTACTGCCTGGGCTCTGCATGCAGTTAGTTATTTGCCTGTTCCAATATAACTCTTTTCTGTTGATGACAGGAAATGATTTGGCATATTTATATTTTTCAGCATTTGGATTCATAGCAGGTGACCCTGGGGGTACCTATTTCCATTCAAATCTGTGCTCATATCATGCTTCAGCACAAAAATATATTTCTTCCAGTCAGTCCTCTTGATAGTTATTGCCTGTACGAGAGCACTCAGGATTGATCACATATGGAGTACCTGCAAAGTATTATTAAGTCTTGACAAACAATTTCATACATGTTCATCAACTGGCTTAAAGTTTCAATTTCCTCTGTACAATTTAGAAATTGGAATATCCTGTTGTCCAGACATGAGTAACGTCTGCCATTCCTAATTCCTGATCCTCAATATAAAAGTGACTTATTAGGTCACATGCATGACTTGCACACTGAAGTATACAAACCTGTTGAGAAGTGTGCATTGCATATTTGCAGGAAAATCACTTGCTGACGTCACCCTGTGCTTAGATTGCAAAGTGTAATATGCAAGTGAGGCTGCGTACACACAATATATTTAAAGCACATTTCCCCACTTCTAGGACCTGTAGATTGCTAAGTGTGCTGGGAATTGTAGCTCTGGGAGATGTTAGCTACAGTTCCCAAGATTTTTGGGGTGTGTGTGTGGAGAGATGTGCTTAAAATGTATAGTGTCTATGAAGCATCAGTTAGGAGTTAGGGAGAAGCACAAGTAGAAATGTACCAGTAATATCTTTTGTAATACTGCTTCTCTCTGTCTTGCATGGAAGTGAAGTTTCAATCTCAGTTAATTGCATTTGCTTGACTGCCTGCTTTGTCAATAGTGCCCTCTTCTAAGGTACTGGCTGTCAAACCCAGTACCTGAATACAAAGAATACAACCTTTGTATTCTTTAATGCTTTGTGGGCAATCACATTTAGTTTATTATCCATGGCATTTATCAAATAATGGCTGCTCATTATTTTTCCTATTTTTCAAATGGGAAACGGAGGTGAGAGGCTGCCTTTGGCAGTAGAGATGGAACATACCGTCATGACTAATAGCCTTATCCTCAATGAATTTGTCTAATCCTTTTTTCTTCTCTTTTTTTTTTTTTGAGCCATCCAGGTTGGCAGCTATCACTATATATTGTATGGGTGAAATCCATAGTTTAACACTGCACAAAAGTACTTAACTCTGTATTCTCCTTTGAGGGCCTCAGTACAGGCTGCCAAGAGTGAAGGCAATTATAGCATCACAACAGGTTAGGGACAAGTTATTCAATTACAATGTTTTACTCATAACTGCCTGCTTCTCTCTCCTTCTTTGCCCCACCTTAGGTTTTGTCCCCTTTGTTGTATTAGCCAGTAGCCTTGGCAGTGTCTTCATTCTCGTGGTAGCCTTTTGGCTGATTCGAAGGAAGAAGAGGTAAGGCGGTTACTGTCATTCCATGGGATGTTAGTTTAGAGTCATGGTTCTTCAGCTAGATTGTCCTGTACAATTAGCAGATGAAACCAATTTCAGTAGTCTTACTACAGACTTACTCTGGTACTGTACCACACAAATTGTCTTTCTCCCAGTGTCCTTACCCTGCCCACCCTCACTGGAGCCATTCGGGCCATGAGTCCAAACCCCCCCCCCCCCCGCTCCACTATTCATAGCATCAATAGATTAGAACATCTACTTTAACCATTGTCTGTGTAGGAAAAGTCCGCCCTTTCATGACTTCAATTCAGAGAACAATATAACAGGGCTTTAAAATAATTGCTGATATTCTTCAATTGCAATTTCAGCTTTGACTAACCCAGTTGTTCTGCTTTTCAGCATCAAACAAACAAGGGAAGAAAAAGGGGTCATCTACAAGCCAGCGATCAGCGAAGAGGAGAATATTTCCAAAGCATAAGCTTCTGTTGAGTTGCCTTAGTAGCCACTCATTCACTGCTTTCTCAAACATTTGCACTGTTTTCTCTTGCTTTATCACTCAAATCTGCTGGATTATTTTTGCCTGAGCACAAAAAGAGACAATAACAAACTTAGTTGGCCTCTAAGGTGCTACTGGAAGGATTTTTTAAATTTTGTTTCAACTATGGCAGACCAACACGGCTACCTACCTGTAACAAAAAGTGCTATAGTTTGAAGAAAGCTTTTCATGTGTATGAAAATGTGACTCCCCTCCCCCTATCAGAAAACCAGTGCTGCTAATGTTAAGGAATCGCCTGTATTTAGGGAGCAGATGACGTTATTGGTGCCAGATTGAAAGATCGTGTCAATAATAGAATTGGAACAGTAGGAAATGTTGAGAGGAAAATGAGCAAATTTGGATAGAAAACCTGCTTTGGATGCAGGTTTCCCAGCGCCAGTTTTAAGCAGTTTATAGGTCAGGGGTCAGGTATTTTCAAATAAAACAGGTCAAAAAAAACCTCTCATTTCCTCTGAGACTATAATGAGCTCCATTAGGTTCAGGCTAAAGAAATCTTGTTTCCTCCTAGTTGTTATTGCTAGTGACAACAGGTAGAAGCCACAAATTTGTACATAAACAAAAATACTATGTATACATAATCAGTAATTTCAACTTTATATAGCAGCATGTAATAAATATTTTTATTAAGAGTTTTTGTGGCAACTCCCATTTGTCTTCAATCATTTACCGTTTTATAAATATATCAGACAAAATTATTCTCCTGAATAGAAGCCAGGCAATGTTTCCCTGTATTTCCTGAGCTCTCAGCTGACCAGGTGATGCTTATGTAATCTACAGCAAGGAATTCCGCTTTTCACCCATTCCACAGCAAGGAATGCCTGGCAGCCCTTATAGTGCAGATATTACTGTAATTGCTCCCAAGGCATACTGGGGCTTGTTCTCAAACTGTGTTCCGGGGAACCCCATTGGTTCATCAACAAAGAAAATCAATCATATTAATGGACAACCTTCTCAAAGACAGGTGGCCTGCCACCATCAACGCACCCCTGCAATGCCAGCTGCAAGTGAGTGCTGAGTTTGTTCTAGCTGTACTCTCTGTTCCTGCAAGGTTGAGCATATTTACTCAGACATACCATATTTTTTATTTTTTTTTATTATTATTATTTTGGACGCGGGTGGCGCTGTGGGTTAAACCACAGAGACTAGGATTGGTGGTTCGAATCCCTGTGACGCGGTGAGCTCCCTTTGTTTGGTCCCAGCTCCTGCCAACCTAGCAGTTCAAAAGCACGTCAAAGTGCAAGTAGATAAATAGGTACCGCTCTGGCGGGAAGGTAAACGGCGTTTCCGTGCGCTGCTCTGGTTCGCCAGAAGCGGCTTAGTCATGCTGGCCACATGACCCGGAAGCTGTATGCCAGCTCCCTCGGCCAATAAAGTAAGATGAGCGTCGCAACCCCAGAGTCGATCATGACTGGACCTAATGGTCAGGGGTCCCTTTACCTTTACCTACTATAACTTCTAGGGATGCAGGTGGTGCTGTGGGTAAAACCTCAGCGCCTAGGACTTGCCAATCGCATGGTCGGCGGTTCGAATCCCCGCGGCGGGGTGAGCTCCCGTTGCTCGGTCCCAGCGCCTGCCCACCTAGCAGTTCGAAAGCACAATTAAGTGCAAGTAGATAAATAGGTACCGCTTTCTAGTGGGAAGGTAAACGGCGTTCCGTGTGCTACTCTGGTGCTGGTTCGCCGGAGCAGCTTCGTCACACTGGCCACGTGACCCAGAAGTGTCTGCGGACAGCGCTGGCTCCCGGCCTATAGAGTGAGATGAGCGCACAACCCTAGAGTCTGTCAAGACTGGCCCGTACGGGCAGGGGTACCTTTACCTTTACTGTAACTTCTACTTATTTCAATGTTAGTAACCCATGAGCAAGTGTGCATAATATTACAGTAAGTACCTGGAATCTTTCAGTGACTACACCATTGGCATCCTGTGTCTTCCATGATATCTCAGAAACACGAGTGAAAATGTCAGTGAGACTGCTTGGCCTCCATTCTTAATTAAATGGGGACTCGCACCTGAGGTGTTGCACCCGCACTCCTGGCAGTGGTACAGTCCACCCACTAGTGAGTCAGGAGCAGTTTATACTGGTGCCTTGCCGTCTGCAGCTCTGCCCTGTTATTTTCCATGCACAATTTAAGGTGCTGCTTATAAAGCCCTAAGTCCCAGCATCATAAAGGTAAAGGTACCCCTGCCCGTACAGGCCAGTCGTGTCCAACTCTAGGGTTGTGCGCCCATCTCGCTTAAGAGGCCAGGGGCCAGCGCTGTCCGAAGACACTTCCAGGTCATGTGGCCAGCGTGATGAAGCTGCTCTGGCGAGCCGGCACCAGCGCAGCACACGGAAACGCCGTTTACCTTCCCGCTATAAAGTGGTACCTATTTATCTACTTGCACTTAAGGGTGCTTTCGAACTGCTAGGTGGGCAGGAGCTGGGACCGAAAGATGGGAGCTCACCCCGCCGCGGGGATTCGAACCGCCGACCATGCGATCGGCAAGTCCTAGGTGCTGAGGTTTTACCCACAGCGCCACCTGCGTCCCAGCATCATAGTTCCCCTGTTAATATCTCCAGTATTAACGTAGACAGGCCAGGGTTGAAGTCAGGGGGCCTTTCAGAAGTATTTTAAGACCTACTTGTTTGTCAACAAAGGAAGGGGTGAATTTATTTCAATTAGTCAATCATCACTGTCCAGGGCAGTGATGGATGTCCTTTGTTAGCTGCTCAGAGCCTCCAGGTCTGGTGGACCACAAATTTAAGCATATAAGGAAACAAATATTCATGGGCCACAATTCAATATAGAGTGAAGCATGCTTAAGTTTACAGCTCTCTGTGGTGTTCCTTGTGCTTTCTGGTAGATTGTGCTTTGTGTTAATTAGTTGGTGGGTCATTGGGGGGGGCGGTCACTTGGACCATATTACAGGATTTGCTTTCAGCCCCCAAAAAACAAATGTTGGAATTGGCCATGGATTAATTTTCCTGGGGTGAAGCTGACAGGAAAACTGAAAAATGTAAACAGATAGCTGTCCTGTTCTGACTGGTTGTGTCCCCCCTCCATGTGTACCTCCTATAGCAATAATTACAAAAACACTTCCACACAAATATTATTCAAGAGCTGAGCCACAACCAAAATAGGAGTAGGGCAAATTGCTGTTGGAGTCAGACCACAAACAAGACTAATTCCCACCACACAATGTGTCTACAGCTGGCACATCAGACAGCTCCCAGCGCTCTAATCCTACGATGACACTTGACACACAGTACAGTGGTACCTCGGGTTAAGTACTTAATTCGTTCTGGAGGTCCGTTCTTAACCTGAAACTGTTCTTAACCTGAAGCACCACTTTAGCTAATGGGGCCTCCTGCTGCCGCCGCGCCACCGGAGCCCAATTTCTGTTCTCATCCTAAAGCAAAGTTCTTAACCTGAAGCACTATTTCTGGGTTAGTGGAGTCTGTAACCTGAAGCGTATGTAACCCGAGGTACCACTGTAATCATTCTCATGCTTTACTCTTCTGGATGTGAACAATGGAAAGGGAGGAAGCATCCCTCTCTGGTACTATTTACTTAGTTGCCTGGGATTTCGAGTTTCACTATCTTACTATTCTTAGAGCACTAAAGCAATTCAGATGAAGTTGCAAAAGAGGAATTAAGAGCCTGGGTGCAATTACTGCTTCAGAAACCTTCAGCCTTAGCTTTCAGTAATCCAGGGCATTCCCTTATGGGCAAGCTTCCCGATGCCCCCATGACGGGGCCAAAGGCTAAAAATGTGCAAAGCGGCAGATGTGATTCTTAGCTTTGTACAGTAGGGTATATTGCACCCACACTCCAAACACACACCTGGACACATACAAACACCTCTCCATCCAGAAAAGCAAGAGGCATTATCCTAGTTCAAGATACCTTCATCTGTCATGGATACTTTAGTTGAGATTCCTGCTGTAGCAGATCCACCACTTACTACTAATTAATAGTGAGTGGACTCATGCTGCTAACTACCCCCCAATTAAATATAGCACACACTCTGTATGCCAATCACGTAAGTTTTACCATTTACCATCTCAGGCAGGAGTTGATCAAGCAAAGTGGAAAAGTTTTATTAAGCAAAAAGAAATTTGTGAAACAAAGTGGGGTCAGGAATTGCATACTGTCTGTTAGAAGTTTGCTTTAACTACAGTATAAGATGTCTCACAGCTTCTCTTAACCTCTCTTTACTCAAAATCAGCTGCTACACTTCAGTTTCTGTTACTAACTCTTCTGTTATCTAACTTCTCCCTCAGAAATGGCTCCATTTATATTCCCCCTCCATCCCGCAAAGTGCTGTCCCCCCCATGCCCCGCTAGCAGACTCTGTAGCCAATCAGAGAGAGGCTCCTGCCCTCTGGTGGAATTTCAGAGGGACTGCACCACCAGACTGGTCTGGTTTTCCTGCCTGTCATACCTGCATTGCAGGGGGTTGGACTAGATGACCCATGGGGTCCCTTCTAACTCTAAAATTCTGTCTCCAGCTGGGCAACTGCACTTGAGAAGGGTGTGGAACAAGGCTGGCGACCTTGGGACTGCCTCGAGGGCCAAACACCTTAGAAGGCGACACTTGGCCTCCAGGCCTGAGTTTCCGCACCCTAGCGCAAAGTAATTATTGGAAAGTAGCCACACCACCCAATTAAAAGAGAAGACAGGGACTTCATTAAATGGATTATGAATAAGCAAGATAATTTGTTTGTATCACATTATGATGACAATATGCCAATGTTATGAGAAAAAACTGCTCCTTTTCCATTGGGGTACCCAAGAGCCCATATAGCGTCCTTTTGTAAGTTCTCTATTGGTAGGAGAAATAACAGAGGCCAAACAGAGAATATTGAAAAGCAAAGCAGCTATTAAGCCTGATCTTTATTAAGCTCTTGCAACAGGGTCCTCACTCACCAGAAGCAGGAAAGAGGAGGAACCCAGAACAAAGGTGTGCCCGCCCTTATATAGACTTTGGAAATTGCCCACCCTCAAACTCCAGACCACCCCCAGAAACATTATACCGTACATACAACACAGAATGGGTGTAGCGCAGGACCACCTCCCCCAATACATCATACATACATCACAGAAGGGGTGGTCTAAAACAGAATCCTGAGTGTGTTATCTCCTGTCTGGCAGGTTACCTGATTGCATTATCTGGGTTTTGGCCACTCTTTTGTTATTATAACTACTTAATTCCCGAATCCAGGTCACATGTTCACCCTATTCACATCTTAAATGTGCCCTTAAGGCAGAATTTGTGAGCACAGAGACAATGGGGAGGTTTTTTCCCATTTACTTCGACCTTGCAGAGAAATATTTGAGGTCATTTTGGGAAAGAGAAAATTGTTTCAGGACTTTTCTGTGGGTTTCAGACATGTGGTTTACATATTTGTATGTGTTTGCTTGGTACATTTATGAACATTCTCTCTCTCTCTCTCTCTCTCTCTCTCTCTCTCTCTCTATATATATATATATATGATGGTGTGTGTTTGTGTGTGATTTTAAAATTCTTATAACACCAACATAAAACAAAAACAAAAGCAACCTGCCATGCTTATGATGCGCCACTTCGCAAATACATTGTAAATTAAGACTCCTAGTGGTTTCAAGCCTGCTCCTTGGGAGAAAGGCAAT